GACATCAGCCAGTGCCTTCAGTACCCTCGGATGGAGCTCATCCGGGCCTGCTGACTTAAAGGCATCCAGTTCTTCCAAGTGACTCTGCACCATCTCAGGGTCTACTCATGGCAGTCTGGTGCCTTGCTCCTGCCTCTCTACAATTCCAGTGAGAGACTTGTCTTGCCCCTCGCTTAGGAACACTGAGGCAAGTAATTCATTGAGGAGTTCAGCCTTGTCCCCCCTGTCCGTCACCAGTTGCTTATGCCCATTTAGTAGAGGTCCTATTCCACCCCGGGCCTTCCTTTTACTCCCTATATATCTAAAGAATAATTTTTTGTTATCCTTAACTTGGGATGCCATCCTCAGCTCAATGGTAGCTTTGGCCTGTCTAACTGCCTCCCTACAAGCACGAGTAGAGGAGGTATACTCCTCTTAGTAATCTCTCCCCGTTTCCACTTATTATATGCCCCCCTTTTAGCCTGTAGATTGCTCTGGATTTCTCTGGTCAGCCAAGGAAGCCTCTTGGCCCCTTTCCCCCTTTTTCCCCGCATCAGGATCGTCTCCCTCTGTGTCTGAAGGATCATTTGCTTAAGGCACAGCCACCCTTCCTGGGCTCCCAACTCTTTAAAACTCTCCTTTTAAGAGTACTGCAGCAAATCTTCACGGGGTATCCAGGTTGCTCTTTCAAAAGTGCAATCTGTTGCTCTGGAGGAGTGTTCTTATTGGTTGAAGGCCCTTTTGAGATTTGTGAGTGACGATCATAGGTATTGTCAGTGCAGGTTCGGTAGTATTGGAAAATTACAGCTTTCTTGGTGTGTTTAGGGTGATTGCTGGTTCTGTGTACAGCCTGTGGGTTTCTTATATATGGTGGTTTGAATTTTACAATTTTGGATATTGATCATGGTGTTTTAAAAGGAAATGCTGGTATTAGAGTATTCAAGTGATAGTCTGATGAAGAGGTGATGATTGTTGAATTTTGGGTGGAAATCAATTGGAGACTGCAGGGTTTCGGTCCAAATGATGAAGACGTCATCTATGGATCTCAGGTATAGTAAGGGTTTGATGGTGCAGTTCTTGAGGAATTCTTCTAGGTGAGCCATAAAAAGGTTGGCATATTGTGGGGCTACTTTGGTGCCCATAGCTGTGCCCAGGGTCTGGAGGAAGTGTTGGTTGTTGAAACTGAAGTTGCTGTGTGTGAGGGTGAAGTATATGAGTTCAGTGATATCCTGAAGTCTACTCTGAGTTGTAGTCTTGTTCTTGTAGATATGTGAGGCAGGCTTGGATGCCATCCTGGTGTGGGATGTTGGTGTGTAAGCTAATGACATCCATGGTGGCTAGGAGGGTATTGCTGGGAAAGGTGGTCTGTGTTTTTGAGTTTTCACAGGAAGTCTGTTGCATCTGGGATGAAACTCGGTCTTTGGGTGACGAGCGGTTTTAAGATGGATTCAGCGAAACCTGATATTTCTTCCATTAGGGTTCCATGGTTTGAAAGGATAGGTCTGCCGGGGTTTCCTTGTTTGTGGATTTTAGGAAGCAGGTGTAAAGTCCCTGGGTTGAGTAGTAGAGGGATCAGGGTCTGAAGTTTTTCTTGTACTTCCGATGGAAATCTAATGGTGGTTTTAAGGTGAAAAGGGGAATTGGATCTTCCTCTACTTTTTTATAGTAAGTGGTGTCAGAGTTGTCTGTTGGCAAGTGGCTGAGGTGGGCAGGGGGGGAGTATCAGTGGTGGGCTGGCCGGAGCATGGTGGTGGCACTGGCTGTAGCCACGCCCCTCCAAGATTCCACGGCACGCCTGGACATGGCCAGATCTGTGCAGGTGGGGTGGGCTGCTGCTGTGGGCTGAGACCGGGGCTGTGCCAGGCTCTTTTACATGTTAAGTAGAACTGTTATGCATTTGGTGAACTGAAAGAAACAGTTCACCAAATGTGTACAATACATTTTTGCTTTTTGGCTTTAGGTCTAGGTTTCTGTGGTCAAATTTAGCTTTAGGCTAGGAACAGCTGTTGCATTTGTCCCTGGAGAAGTTGCACCTGTGTGTTCCTAGACCAAAATATCCCAGCATTAGAAGAGTGGTTATATGTACATGACAATTGGGTTTAGTAAACGGCTGACTGCATTGCTGCTTTTCTGCCATTGATTCAATGAAACAATCTTGGGATAGCAAAATGCATCTGAATGGTTGTCCTGGGATAAACTGCTGGCATTTTGTGTTCTGCAAACCTCTTTAGGATTAATTCCAAGACAGTGGGCATGGATGTCTGAATCTGTGCGGAGAATGTCTGAATGACTGCAACTTGTTCCAGGATAAAATGGTTTACCCCAGGACAAATGCAGTATCTGTTTGTAGCCTTCAGTTGCTTGCAGATGTAAAAAAAAGCACTTTAAACTCCGAGAGCTCATGTGCTGAGCCCAGCACATGCTCAGTAGAGGCAGCACCTTAGCTGGATCTGGCTCTGTAGCATCTGTATAGATTGAGCACTTGTGGAGCTTTTTTGGCACTTTTATGCAATAGCTGATTGAATCAGCTTTAGCCAAAAGTGCCAAAAAGCCCCACTGAAGTGACCTGATCTATACAGATATTGCAGAGTTGGTTGAAGGCTGATTTTGACTAGACATAAGGAAAAAACTTCTTTACAGTCCAAGTGTTCAGGGTCTGGAACAGATGCCCTCCAGAGGTGGTGCAAGCACCTACTGTGGACTCTTTCAAAAGACATTTGGATGATTATTTTGCTGGGATAATTTGACCCCAGCAGACTTCCTACCTGTGGCAGGGGGGCTGGAATTGATGGTCTCTCAAGGGCCCTTCTAGCACCTAATGTCTATGCAAGTAACACGTTGCTTCTTCTGGTAAAGTGTGTTTGGGGGTGTGGGGGGCGGGGCAGAAGACAAAACATTAACATCTGTGAGCAGCCTCTGTGTCCTGAGGTTTCCAAAAGGTTTTTCTCTTTCAAAGCTTTAATGTTGTGTTTGGAGTGAATTTGACTTTTTATATTCAAATACTTCTCCTTCTTTTTCAGGAAACCTCTGATGAATCAGCAGTTCTCTGGCTAGATGAAATACAAAAAGGAATCGATGATGGTAATAAGAATATAGAAGAGGCAGAAAACTGTAAGCAACAACCTGAATCTGAATTAAACCTGACTACTTTTTATCCTGAACAAATGCAAGGATTTCTCATTTTGATTCATGTTCACGTGGAATTGTAGCCAGGTTAATTTAATGGCTCTCTTAAATGTATTTAGTTAAAAAAACCCAAAACCATATTTTATTACAGGATGGTTGAAAGTGACGGAAATAAAATTCAAATGCCAGATTACTGTTAAATATGTCCAGAACATCATGGATATGTCTTAGTTGATGTGATCTCTTACTGCTTAAATATAATAAAACTGCAGGTTTCTAACACCACTGTTTTCACAGAGCTGATGAAATGTCATAAAAATGTCTCTTATATAGCATGAAAACAAATGCAAGGGGATGAGAAAAGGAAATTACAGAGTAGTTGAAAAGTTAAGCAGTTATGATAAAAACTTGAGAGAAGTCTTGTATATAATGCCTTATCTGTGTTGCAAGACCAGAATTCCTTACATGGTCACAACTTTGGTTAGTCAATCCTTATTCCTCAGTAAATGTCAGTACTTCCCCCAACTTACAAGCTTGCCGTTTAATGATTAATAGTACTCTGAAAAACGATTTTTTTGTGTAGAAGCAAAAAGTATTCCAGTCCATATTGAACCTGACCTTATTCTATGAAAATAGCAGTCTGGAAAAAGTCAGGGTGGACCTGTCCTGGTTGTATAGCCTGTGCATACCAATTTATTAATGTTGTCTTCTCTCCCGGAAGTTTTCACTAAGCATAAGCAATTCTAAAAGCGATTTATGTAAGCAAACTATAAAAGAATTCTAAATAAAAAAACACTAAATAGTTCATAGTAGAATAAAAATTTGACTAGAAACCATTGCATCAGTTTTTAACACAGCATTTTTCATGAGCTATGCATCTCTGTTAATGTCTCGAAGGAGCTTCTGTACATCTACATATTTAAAAAAGGAAAATGCCAAATGTGCCAAAGTTCTTTTGAAATATCTCTGATCACTCTTTATCAACATCAAAGTACTTTTTTTAGGCTGGATGATGTTTTTAAGTGGCTTTTGAGTTTTACAAAAAACTTTTTAAGTTTTGAACGTCTAGTTAATATTTTTTTGCTTAATTGTTGTGATGTTTTATTTCATACAAAGACGTAACTTATTTTGTGCTTTTGTGGTTAATAAGTACTGTATATAGAACTTACTTTTCCTGGCTCAGTGTAGCCAAGGAATATTTATTATGAATGAATATGTATCTAAAGTAAAATACTAGTACTCTTATATACTTAATCATGCTTTTGCTGCCAAGGTATCTCTCAAAAACCATTTTCTGCCTGTTATGAAAAGCTCAAGTGTAATTTGCATTATAAACAAGTTTCAGGTTCATGTCATAGTATTTCTAATTCTAAATCAGTTGACTACAATTTGTGTAAGATTTTATTTTCCTGTGTGTCAAATTTGGGACTAGTTAATCCTAAATTTGGAATTGTTTGAACACACAAACATACACAAAGTCAATGCACCTCTCTCATTTGGTTGACTAATATGGAGTAATTTTGTATTGGAACCTGTTACTCTCCTTCTGCATTTTTGCTGACTAATTTAAATAAAAGTCTTCACCAGAGATGGGTAAAAAATTTTAAACAACACCTTAGATGTATACATAGAATAGTGAAATGTGGCAAAAATAATCCCTGGCTCTTTTAGGACTGGATGTTTTCCCCTCAACTTCATTTCTTCACTGACTGCAGTATGAGCCATCTGATTCTGTAGCTCTGAGTGGGAAGGTCTTGAGGGAGCTTCGCCAAAAAATTTTGGTGGCTCCAGTGGTTGACTAATTCCAAAAATTATGGGGGCTCTGGGTCCACTAGCAAAGTAGGCCTTTTGGCAAGGGACAGACATTCAAAAAGCTGGAGCCTGAATTGATTCAACCTGTGCAGGTTAGTTTAAACCAGTCCAAAGGTTAGTTTGTAACAGTCCAAAGAGAATGTCTGTGCTGAGAAACTATGAGCACATGCCTGCAGTTGCTTGGGCCAGGCCCTGGGAGGCGCTAGAGCAGCCCTTAGCTGCAGAGAAGCTGTGCAGGGGGGAGGCATGGCCAGCTGGGGCTGAAATGGCCAGAGGGGTTTAATTCCCTCCTCGCTGTCCCATGGCAGGGACCCAAGCCAGGTCTGCCAAACACTTCTCCCTCGCTGCTGCACCCACAGGCCACCATGGTCACTGAGGCAGAGGGGGCAGGGAGGAGGGTTATTCTCCCTTCTGCTCCCACTGCCTCCTGGGGACCACAGCCAGGTCTGCCTGCCCTGACTGCCAGTGCCAAGCAGCAGAAAAAGCCCCCTCCTGTCACCTCTGCCAAATGCTGGAGGGAAGGGGAATAACCTCCGGCCCTGCCTCTCCCTATCATAGTGTTGGGAAGTGCGAGCCCCTTCCCAGCGGGGTGCTGCACTGCAGGGTGGGCAGAGCTGCAGTGGACTGCACGCAGCAGTACCAGGGCCTAGAGGGGCCAGGGCCTTCCAAGGCCCCCCAGTGCCACAGTCCATAGCATCTTTTCCTGCCTTGCAGCACAGCCCATACCCCACTGGGAAGGAGATTGCAGTGCAGGAAACTGTGACAAGGGTGCTGTCCCGTCTCAGTCACTCCCCTCTTGTTGCTCCAACGGCCAGGTGGGGGCAGGGCCAGATGCCGCTGGCAGGGCCCTTTGTGGGGGGCAGGGAGAGGAGTTATTCCCCCCTCGACTCCCAGGGCACTGCAATGGGATCTGGCCACTGCCACCGAGTGGCAAGATAAGTCCCCTCTTGTCCCCTCTGCCGGATGCTAGAGGGAGGGGAAATGACTCCTTCCCCCCCCCCACCCCGGGGGGGCCCAGAAAAGGAGAAAGATTATGATGAGCACTGGTATGCTAATACTGGTGACTAGAAAGATGCTCAGATAGATGTATAAGCAGGGCTGACACTTCCATAGTCCAGAAGTCAGTAGTAGCTGCATCAGTGCTAGCTACAGCAGGCTGGTGCTGCTGATACTCTAATGCCATGCACTGGTTATTGCAGTCGTCTTCAGTGCATCACAAGAGCGTGGGTACAGTGCAGAGTTCAATTTCTTTTAAGCCTGGATAAATAACAGATGTGGTGAAGAGGCAGGCTCTCTCATTCTGTTTCTAATATCTGGAGCAGGATGTAAGCTTTTAGAGCTGCACCAATACGTTGGTCCAATATCGGATCAGCACCGATTTAAAGAAAATTTACTATATCAGAAATCGCCCATATCAGACCAATTTAATTTGGCCAATAAATGGCCCGTGCATGTGCACAGGCGGCAAGGAGCACAGCCTGGCAGCGTGCGGAGCTACCTCCAGCTGGTAAGTCTAGTGTGGTGCAAGGGGAGTGGGGAGGGAAGCAGCTGGGGGGAGCAGATCAAGGCCCCCGCAGTAAGGGAGGGGCTGGAGCTGGGCGGGCATGGCACGGAGCTGTGGCTCATGTGGGGGGTGGGGGGGGTTCCTGTTGCTACGCATTGCTCAGCAGAGAGCCACTTGCCTGCTCATCCAGCGGCTCCCACCACTTGTCCTAGAGGGCATTGAGGGGCATGTGCCCCCAGATCTGCGTGGGACAGACTGGGGCTGGGGCTGCGCCAAGCTCTTCCCGGCAGGTTAGGGCTACATTGGGAAGAGGCTACAGAGGGGGCCACATCCACAAACTCACCATAGCCCCTTCCCAGCGCAGCCCCACCCTGCCAGGAAGAGTTTGGCCCAGCCCTGGTCTGTCCTGCCCCGCGCAGATCTGGGGACTCACGCTGTCCCTACCCTCTTGGAAGTGGCGGGAGTCTCTGGACAAGCAGGTGAGTGCCAGGTGAGTTACAGGACCAGTGGCTCCTGGCTAAGTGGTGCACAACGGCAGGAGCTGCCCTCCTCCCCCTAGCCCCCTTGTCAACCATGCCATGTCTACCCTGCCCCGGTTGGGCAGTGCTTGCCCCAGCCCCACACCCTCCCTCACCGCTGGGGCCTTGATCTGCCCCCCTTCCCCCCTCTCCCCCCCATCCACTTCCACCACCCAGACTTACCAGCTGGAGGTAGTTCTCCATGCTGCGGGGCTGGGTGTCGGAAATCAGATCGACATCCATTGATATGCCTCCTTTAAAAATCGGCTATCGGTATCAGCTGCAAAACTCTATCAGTGCACCCCTATATACTTAGTCTGATCATAAAAGCAGACCGTCATCTTGTTTGCAGATTTAATGTTTCTAACCTGGCAACGTTTTGGAGAGGGGTTCTTTCCCATATTCACGTTTAAGTCTGATACCAGTTTGCGAAGACTTTTGTAAAACCTAAGGGACAGATCCTGCGGGGGTAGAGGTAGAAATATGTACAAGAGAAGCAGTGGAAATTGCTTCTGCATTAAACTTTCTGCTCATGTGCAGAGTTGTTTTGGGGGGTTTTGTAATATACCTTCCATACACTGAAGTGTGTAACAAACAAGCTGTGGGAGACTGTTTCAGTGGCTTATTCCACTCTCCTCATAGCCTAGGAAATTTGATAGTATGCCGGGATATGACCATAAGTTGGTTTGTCTTCTGCTTGGCCTAAGCCTGAATTTTTCTGTAAAGGAATACTGTTATAACATTGAAGCGTGGAGGGTGGTATTGCATTATGCATGTGTGTATGTAGCTTCTAAACATTCTAGTGGGGAAGCACATTCTCTAGATAGTTGAAAGATGTGCACGTATATAATGTTCTTAATTTTCAATGTAATTTTGTTTAGTGGCTCTTGGAACTTCAGTGATTAACAAGTGTTTGGAAAAAGGCGATTCAGAGCCTCTCCTAGCTCTATTGCAATCTCCTAAATATGGCTTAAGAGTTGTTCCAGAGTGTGCTGAAGCCTATTACCAGAAACTTTTGGAAGCCAAAAATTTAAAAACCAAAAAAGGTAAAAATGAAAATCCTTTGAATGGGGGAACCCATATCTGTAGGGGGGATGAAGGCCTTGTGAAAAACGTAAACTAAGCCACAGTGTTACTGGGGAACCTGGGATTTTTTCTTTTTCCATTGGATTATTCAAGAGGTATCTAGCTCCCCATTTTGTTTGTTTGTTTGTTTGTTTTCACTTAACTCCTTTAGAGCTTGACTACATTGAGTAAATTCATCACAGTGTGTATTCATCATTTGGTTATAAAATGTATGGTTCTGAATTCTTTGCTCTGCCTTGCCCATGTGGAAGGGAGGGATAGTTGTGTCTGAAGCTTCCTGGGGGCTGAAGTGGGTTTGAGTAACTTACTGCACCACAGTGCAGAACCTCACAGCCATTCTTTCCCACTGCCCTACACTAACCACTACAATGGGGAGGCTTTGGCTGTATTTGTTGGCCCTTTGCTCTTTCTGCATTTGGAAAGTTCCCCAGAGCTGTTATACCCCTTTTAGGGCCTTTAGCAATGCAAGAGCAATTTCACATGGTGCAGCTGGAGCCAGAATCTGGCCCCCTTTTCTTTGAACAGGACTTTCCTGTGTAAAATTGTCAGCTGGTTCTGGATAACCCAATAAGCTGAAACTTTTTTAAATACAGCAGTTCCGGTTTACAGTGTCTAGTACCTCATATTTAACATATTAATAAAAAGCCTTTTCCCCAGTATAAAGAAGTAGCTTCTGCATATAGCAAGAATTGAGGGTTTGGGAAGCTTTCTTATCAGGTTTACCTTGGAGCCTTTTATCCATGAGGAAACTTACCCAAGACATTTAAGATACAGACTTGTTTTTGTTTCCCAAAAGCTGATAGTGGTGATCTGGGTAATAACATGAATATGGCAAGTCTGTAATGTGCACCCATAGTTAACAAGGCCCAGCCTGTAGCAGATACTGCAAAAAAAAAACTCATCTTTTTTTCTAATGCTTGTCTTGGCTCTATTCACATTAGTAACAATGAAGGTCTTGGGATAGACTGGTGGCTGCCGGGATCTGGGTAGAGTTAAATAGCACAGTACTTTACATATTGGTAGCAGCTGGTGGTCAGTCAGTCCTAATAGGTAGAACCTGGAGCATTCATAGCTGAGTGGTTTGTAGGCTGCTTAATTTGTAGCACATTGCTGAATTAAACATGATTCACTTAGCTGTTTACTGTGGCTTTTGTTTCAAAGAGCTTCTCTGATTTAGGTGGAGCTCATCAGCTTTCCCTTGTTTGGAAAAATGTCCCCCTTCTGCCACTGAAATTGAAGCCATACCTGGTGGTTCTCCACCCTTTTGCAACTGAAATTGAAGCCATACCTGGTGGTTCTCTGTACACCCACAGGCACTTTGCAAACCTATGTGTTTGCAGGGGAGTTCACAAAGTATCTAGGTCATGCTGTATGCTGCATTTTAGGCTACTGAGTGTCCTGCCGCAGAAGACTTGATCAGTGTTAACACAACAGGATATTTTTACAAATAGTCCCTAAAATTGACTTGTGTTGACTTTCATACATGAGTAATCATGGAAAGCTTTTTTTTTTGTGGAGAAAGGGGTCGGGAAGGGGAGAAACTGTCATAGTGTTCTGATTTTATGTATTAACAGTAATCCCTACTGCTTTTTAGATATTAATGAAAGCCCATGGATCAAACAAGTAATGAATGATATATATGATTATTATTACAATGTGGAAACTGGAGAAGGTACCTGTGTTCCATCTGAAGGAGTTGTACCAAAAACTTCTTGGCTGACCAGTGATGAAATCCAGGTAGGGTACAAAAATGTTCAAAATGATTGCACACTAATGTGGCCCACAGTGGGTAAAAATATGGTTATTTCATAGTTTTGAAGCACTCAAAAAGCACTTAAAATAGAAAGAAAAGAGGAGGAATCCTCTAACTGTATTTCACTGCAAGCTGTTCATTCCCCAAATACAGTAGAATTTAATTATCTAATCAAATCCTTTGGTGGTTAATACCCCATGTGCAGTCCAAGAGGATCTTACTTTGGCTCATATCTCACAAGTTGAATGTTCCCTTAAAACTGCTTTTAAATCTTCCAAGTCTATCTAATCCTGTTTACTATCACTTATTGAACTCCTGTACACTGTATAGGTTTTATACAGTCATCAATTTAGGAAAACCATTGACCATGTGCACAACTACTTTCCTGAATTGGGGGCTATATTGAAGTCTAACTACACTGTGTGATTCAGACACTGAGACAAGATACAGACATTCAGAAAGCCCAAGGCAGAATCACTCTAACTTGTACAGTTTTCTGTAAGCAGCATAGTTTTAGATCAGTAGAAAACAGAATGCACATTCACCCATGGATTCTGCCATTTTTAAATTAGTCTGTCTGTGCACCGAACTTCTGTTCCATTGTGAGTGTAGACCTGTTTCCAATTATTTCTACTAATAAAAGTGTAATGTCTGTACCTGGCCTGAAATCTCTATATGGATAAATCCTGTTTAAACATGTGACTAGACTGCATTTAACTATGCCATTGCCAATTC